TGCATGCTGCCTCCTCCTCCTCCTCCTCCTCTCCTCCTCCTCCCTTCCCTTCCCTTCCCTTCCCTTCCCTTATTAGACCTGATTCCTGGTGACTACATGGACAAATTCCTGCAGGTTTTTTTGCAAGGTTTTTCGGCAGTGATTTGCCCTTGCCTCCTTCCTAGGGTTGAGAGTGACTAGCCAAGGTCATCTAGATGGCTTTTGTGCCCAAGGCAGGACTAGAACTCAGGTTTCCCTGCTCTTAGTGCAGCATCTTGACCACTAGATTTTTGAGGGTCCCAGGTTATCCCTTCCCCCAGCTTGTGGGCAACCAAACTCCTAAAAGCAAATGACTAGTCTGAAAAGCCTTTCCAGAACAACATAGTCATATATTATCTTAGAGACAGAATCCTTCCCTTGGTTGCGTAATCACCATGCTTTCCTGGGTAATTGGATGAACTTTACAGTCATTAGAACCTCTTGATGGGCTCTTTCTGGTTAAATTTTAAGATCCTGTTATTGTTAATGATCCCTTGTTGGCAATGACTGCCCATAATTTGCCTTGGTTGACAATCCTGGTAACACCCCAGCATCTCCATGGCTGCATTCCAAGGGGCTCCCAAGACCCTGACAGTTCTACCACCCAGTCAAGTTCACAGTCCCTTGATCAAGGGTCTAATCAGCAGGCACTTGAAAACCATCTGTTCACTTTAGCCTCGGTCCACATGGTCCACTATCTGCTTCTGGCTGTTTTCCAAGCCACCCAGCAGCATATGGTTTGGGGCTGCCTTCCTGGTCTGCAATCTTGCTTCTCTATTAGCATAATTTCATCCTTGGAGCCACTGCTGAGATCAGTGCACCAGGCAATGAAGATGCTATGCCTGGTGGGTGCTCCACATGACCAGGCTGGGCTGACACACGGTGATGGAATCACTCTAGAGCTGTGTATGGGACAGCTTTCTGTTAAAAAAAGATTGGTTTGCATATAGTCCCAGCAGATGATAAAGTTCATATTTTTCAGATTTATCCTCATATAGTTATTGTATGCCATTGGTAATATTGCTTTTGATGATGGACTGAAGAGCCAGGTTTTGAAACATCACTCAGCTACTTTGTGCTGTTGGGTCTGTCACTTTCTTCTCTAGCCTATCTCACAGATATTCTGGTCAGTCAAGTATCTTCTTGGAGGAAAGCGAGGTAGAAATATGATAAATAAGAAATATATCTTTTCACACTCCATATGTTACCGATGGAAGTAATGAAATATTTTCAATTGCCTGATAAATTCAAGGATAGGACAGTTTGGTGAAATCTGAAAATACTGTTACACAGTAGAACACTTACCTATTTTTGCTGGAGGCCATAATTAGAACAGTTGGCCTTTTTTTCTCTCTCTCTTTGCTTTGAAATGTGCTTTTATTCATTGTAAAATGGGCATTTCTCCATTTACAACACTCATGATGCAGATCATTAACTGACTCTTGCATGGCTCCCTATGAGACTCAGGAGGATTACAGGGGAATGAACTACATACACATTTCAGAGCACATGTGATTGTTCCTCAAGATCATTTGTTTCTGACCAACTCACGTTCTAATACAGTAGTTCTTCGTTTGGGGCTTCATCCATTCATTCAGCGACTGTTCAAAGTTATGACAGCACTGAAAAAATGGACGTATGTCCAGTCCTCAAAGTTCCAGGCATCACAGCACCCCCGTGGTCATGTGATCGCAAGCTGGGCATTCGTGTGCCCAGCTTGCGAATACAACACCGCAGGGAACTACGGCCATATGATCATCATTTGCAACCTTTCCTGCTGGCTTCTCACAAGCAAACTCAACGGGGAAACCAGCAGGGGAGGTTGCAGGTTGTTCTGGTAAGTTGCTACTGCTTTTTCTCCACAGCACCCCCCCCCAACTTGCATGCAGCCTGCACTGGTGCTCCCAGGCCCTCCCCCAGCCTCTTGCAACTTGCGCACGGCCTGCGTCGGCCCTCCCCTGGCCTCTCCCACCCCCCCATGGCACCCCCACACTCCTTACTGGGACTCCCACCTCTTCCTGCTTAACAACCCACACATCTTAGGGTTACGACAGCAACCAAGATTGGCTGGGATTGCTGTTGCTAAGCAGTGTGGTCACATGACATCGCACTTTACGACTGCATTGATTAGCGACAGCAATCCCACTCCCAATTGCCATTGTAACCTGCGGACTACCTGTAATACTAATACAATTGGCCTGGTTTTGGTCTAGTAGTATATTTGGTGAAACCCATCTCAAGACATGCACACGTTTTTTTTTAAGACTCTACACGTCACACCAAAGCAAAAGGAAGCAAGTCACATTATGATTAAGTGTCATGTGTGAATTAGGTGTATAGTTCTAAATAATGAAAGGGGCCTATGTTTTAGATATGCATGCCCAAACCACAAACCCTTTCCTCAAAGACGTTTGCCTGATCTACTGTACATGAATTACAATGCTAACATTATGACTTAGTCAAAGATGATGAAATTGTTCTATTATGGAGGGAATGCGTATGTACACAAGTTGAATTTTTTTTTTTCTTTTGTGCCTTTGAGTCATGTTGATTCCTGGCAACTGTCTGGACATGTCCCCGCAGTTTTCTTGGCAAGGTTTTTCAGCAGTGGTTTGCCCTGGCCTGCTTCTTCCTGGGGCTGAGAGAGAGGGACTGGCCCAAGGTCGCCCAGCTGGCTTTGTGCCTAAGGCAGGACTAGAACTCACGGTCTCCCGGTTTCTAGCCTGGTGCCTTAACTGCTCCACCATACTGACTCTCCTATGTTAGGAGAGTTGAAAACCATCTCTCCCTGGTTCATTTGTATGAATCGGTGCTGGATTTCTTCTTTTGTGAGACTGATTTGATTACAACATTGCTATGACCAATCGCTAACAAACTACAAGTAATCCTCAGGTTACAAGGGCAATTGGGACATAGAACTCCGTAACTAAGCAACGTGGTCATAAATCATGATGTCATGTGACTGCATCACTGAGCAACAACAATTCTGGCAGTCCCAGTTGCTGTCATTAAATGACAACCATGCAGATTGTTAAGTAAAGACCTCACATGAACGCAACTTCCTGCCAGCTTCCCCATTGAGTTTTGTTGTGGGAAGCTGGTGGGGAACATTGGAAATTGCAATCACATGACCATGGGGATGTTGCAATGGCTGGAACTCCAATGACCCATCATAAGTCCCTCTCATTCAACACCGTCATAACTTTGAACAATTGCTGAATGAATGGTCATAACCCAAGGACTACCTGTACTTCTGATTCCTACCTCTCTGTAGAAACTTTCCTCAGATGAGATTAAGGACTGGAGCAGCCAATTAGGAAATGGGCCCAGAGCTTGGTACATTCTTGACCACTGAAAAGGCAATTGAGATGCAGGATTTGTAGTTAATGTAGTCTAGATGTACCCAGGGGCATTATCAGTTTGCATATCTAATTACTGTTCTTGGCTGCAAACAGAAAAAAACCCCCAAACAATCTGAGACTGATTGCCTGGGAAAGCATAACCAGCCTTTTTTAAATGTTCCCTGAAAGAAAAAGGACCTGGAGAAGATCTATCTATGTGGTTACTGAGTTGACGCCAACTTGATGGCACAGAATCAATCAATCAAAACAAAAAAGGGGAGGAATCTTAAATGCAAAATCTGACCCTATCTATTTACAGTACTAGCTCCTGTCATCAGAGCACCAGAATGATTTTCTGAAATGTGTCAACTGTTTATTATGAATTGTTTATAAGTAGTGTAATTGACTGGGGGGGTTGGGGGGAAATAAATCAATTAGCCATCACAGAACAGTTTTCCTATGCGCAGCGATATTCCTTAGTTCTTCACCGACTTGTTTTTAAAAAAAGGAGCACCACTAACCTTAAGGAAGTTGTTTTGAAACATGGAATCCATGATTCATCACCATCTGGGAGTGAAAATAAAATCCCACTAGCAAACCCCTTCTTCCAAGGGTTCCCCAATAAAAGGTACTGGGCACAATTAGTCCTGTCATAATCTGTGGGCTTCTGAGCCCATCCCTGATGGTGAATTCATGCCTTTTATCATGAGATCTACATGCCAGATATCTTAGGGAGTGCTCTTGGCCCATATAAAAACCAAGAGGCTTGTCATCTGGTCATATCTGAGGAGGGGAAATTTCAGATCTCCAAGCTGCTTAAATGGTATTTAAGAACAAAAACCATAGCAAACATTTTTTTCATTAGAATCAATGCTATAACACATCTTAAAAGGAGAGATACATACACACAAATCTGATTAAAGGCAGGACATATGCAAGTAATGTTGCTCATTGCATATTGCCATCTGATCCTAACTCATAAAGCAGAAGAATACTCTTATTCTAAA